CTATTTTTGACAATACCTTACATTATTCCTATCACTTTTGAAGTACCTATCTACGAATTTCCTTGAGTATCAGCGATTTCTTGACAAATATGGTTTACCTATGACAGAATTTTTCTATGTATGAAATATATGGATAGATCTCTGGTGGTGGTAGTATTGGAATCTAATTTACCTATTATTTTGGCAAGAAAATCAGTGAGATATTGTACTTTCCTGAATTTGTTTACCACCTAAGCCTAGAAGGTATTACAGAGAATCATCCTTTAGACGTGCCAAAATTCAAGTTCAACATTCGTAAACTGAAGGATAAAACTGCGAGAAGTACATTCATTACGGGTCAGATCAGCGCAAAGTCGGAGACACTACGTGGCATCAATGAGGAAATTGGTGTGGAAGAACATTTGAACTCTCTGAAAGCGATGTTTAAGGAAACGTGTACAACTGTTCTAGGAAGAAAGAAGAGACAAGGCAAGGAGTGGCGGTCAACGGACAGCTGGAAGCTAATCGAGGAGAGGAGAGAAGGATGGTGAAAGAGAATATGACTCAGTGCAGAGGTGGACAACAAAGGAGAAGCTGAGGTCAATGTATGCTGCACTCAATAAAGAAGTGATGAAGAGTGCTAGGAAAGACAAACGACAATTCTACGATACACTGGCCGAAAACTGAAGCAGAACAGGCTGGCCGCAGGCAAAAGAGACATCAGGACATTATATCAGATAACCAGGTCTCTATCCGAGAAGAGATCAACCCAGGTGATGAAGCCAATAAAAGATGCTTGAGGGAACCCAATCACCGGGGTGGGTAACCAGATCAAACAATGGGCTGATCACTTTAAACAGCTCTTTAATCGACCACCACCGGCAACTCGTCCAGAAATACCACCAACAGCACGCACAGAACTGCCAGTGGACACCACTCCTCCAACTAAGGAAGAAGTCCTGAATGCGATGAAGCTACTGAAGACTGGCCAGGAAGGCAGCAGGACCAGACGGCATCCCTCCCAAAGCACTGAAGACGGCCCCAGAGACTGTGGTAGATGTTCTCACTACTCCATTACTTCAAAAACTTTGGAAAGAAGGGAAGGTGCCTACTGACTGAAGAAGGGCTAGCTACCTCGTTAAACTGCCAAAGGGTGACTTAGGCCTGTGCAAAACCTGGCGTGGAATAATGCTCTTGTCCATGCTAAGTAAAATACAAATTCGCATCATCCTTGAGAGAATGAAGGAGGCAATTGATACGGAACTGCTCAAGACCTAAACAAGCTGCATTCAGGAAGGGCAAATTATGTGCTGATCAAATTGCAACTCTACGCATCGTCATCACAGGAAAAAGCATGGAATGGCAGTCAAACCTCACTCCACCTCAACTTCACCGACTTCAAAAAGGCATTTGACAGGCAGCGTTGACCGAGAAGTATTTTGGAAACTATTTCCATACTATGGCGTGCAGTGCCCAAGTCTTAGTCAACCTCATTCAACAGCTATATGACAATGCCACGTGTCAAGTGATCCACAACGGAAAACTCAGCGAGGCGTTGGAAGTGCATACAGGAGTAAGACAGGGCTGTCTATTATCACCGACGCTGATATTCTTAATTGTGGTGGACTGGATTACGCGTCAGCCTGTGCACAGGGAGCGAGGAGTCAGGAATACGCTGGACGATCGATAAGAAGACTCCAGAAGATATGGATTTCGCAGATGATATATGTCTAATATCCCACAAACTCGAAGACTTGCAAGTGAAAACCAACAAACTGGCTGATGAGGCAGCGAAGGCAGGACTGCAGGTGAACTCAGAGAAGACGGCGTTGATGGAGATAACCAACGAACAGCAATAACAACAAACAACACAAATCACCATCAACGGGAGAGATTTAATAGAGGTTACCTCCTTCGCTTATCTTTCAAATATAGGTGGAACGGATGAAGATGTCAAAGTCAGAATAGGAAAGGCAAGATGCGTCTTCATCAACCTGAAACCAGTTTGGAAATATTCCGCGCTCAGCATAAGGAGCAAGATTTGCGTTTTCATCACCAACGTAAAGACGGTTCTTCTATACGGATCAGAAACTTACACTGCGTGTCACTGAAGGGATTTCCAACAGCTTGTGGACTTTCATCAACAGCTGCCACCCTTGTTGACTCCATAGTGAAGATCAAATGGCCAGCCGGCCAGAAGGAGTTAGCAACAAGAAACTCTGGCTGGCAATGAAGCAACCAAGAGCCGATCACTCAACAAATATGTAGGAGAAAGTGGGGATTGATCGGGCATGCATTAAGGAGGTCATCGAATGACAATGCACGCCAAATTCTCGAGTGGAATCCAAACGAGGAGCAACGAGTGGGTCGTCACATAAATGGTGGCATAGAGGATATCGTGCAAGGACGAGATGAGAGAGTTTGGTCAATCGTGGACCAAGCTGAAGAGGACGGTATAATACAGAACAAAGTGTTCCACGCGGAATGCAAGGGAATAATATATAAGAAGAATTTAAACAATAACTGTTATTGACAGCACTGATATTTTCTAAAATATTTAGCGTTGTTTAGACCGAATTAAAGACAGTTAAAACAATGACAGCTTGTAAAATGCTTCTATGAAATGGGAAATTTCCAGATTATTAAATTTCATACAAAAGAAAATTATTCAACCACTTCTACTCCCATGGTAACAACTATGTTGATTTGACTTAACTTTTCTTTGTTTGTTTGTTTGATTTGACTTAACTTTTGTTTGTATGCTTATTTTTCTACATAACACCCTTGTGTAATTTCGTATATTTTGTTTCCATGTACACCCTGAGTACAACTCTGCCATCAAACTATTCATGTTATTATGTAACTCTTCTTTAACAATCGTTTGTGACAACTCATCACTTTTGTTACTAAACTTTTGTAACTACCCTCTTATATCAACATCCGATTCATCTGAACTTATTAATTGTATTTTCTTTTGACAAATTTAATGTACACACACATACAAAACAACCATATATATTTGCGATTGTACAGCTATGAAAATGAATTCACTGAAAAGAGACTCTTCGCTAAACTACTTGTCTTCTGCCTAGTAATGTTCGAATAAGAATTTTTCACGTATTAAATTTCAGTGATGATGGCCAAGGCAGGGAAAGCGTCTAAATAACTTCTTCTGAACATAAAGGTTAGGCTTTTTTTAGGTGGATTGCAACGGCTTCAGATATATATGAAAAACGAATTCGTAATGGCGAAATTAAGATTAATTAGTCGGAATATGGCAGATAAACTAAAACGCCTTGTTAACATCAACTCTATGTTCAGTATCTAAGATGTAAGCTAAAGCAGAACTGCAAATAGACCCTGTTTGTCTCTAACTTAACTTCACATGATGATTTTTAGAAATCCGACTACAAATTCGCTCAATTTAACTGACTGCACAGGAGCAGCCAGACTATTAATACTGAAGAAATGCGAAAACCGAATAAGAGATTCAAATTCATTTCAAAAGATGAGTTTTGTCATGAGTTATTGCCACTAGCGCGAGTGACAAAACATGTATATTCAGAACCACTTTTCAACAACTAGATATAAGAGTTGTGTATGATCAGCTGTGCTTATTCATTGAACAAAACCAGCGATGAGATCAATGCAAAAGCAAGATAGTACGGATTCTATCACTCTGTATTAAATATCAGGACTCATTCAGGGGACAGCTCAAGGCCTACCTCTTACATTAGTTGGCTTTTATCAGCAAAGCGTATTTGAAATCTACCAGTAACCCTTTTTTTTCCTGAGGTATATTTTGTGATTAATAAAAGCTTGAAACAAAAACTAAGTGAATCTACTTATTCTTGTGAAAGTGGAAATCGAACTCTGCAACATACTGTAATTTCAATTTAGGTGTATTTATTTGACTAAGTGAATGGTCATATATTACGTACTATTAGATTTCTTTATAAATTTTTGTAAGGCGAAAATAATAAATATTGTGGAATGGATTAAATTCAACGTTTTGCGGTCTAAATCTTCCACAATCAGCCTAAACTGGGAATCCGTTTACAATTGAATAATTTAAGATGTCATTCTCACATACAAGTAATTTGATATAGTTCAGTAGTTTGATCAACACAAAATAAGTATCTCCACATTCACACAACAATATGTATGAAAACAAAATACGTTATACTATGTTGTATACTAAATGACGTTTCGTATGCAGTTTTATTGTCGAAAAACTGCTTTTGCCTTCTCTTGTAAATAGAGGAAACACTAAAAATGCCAGGGAACTCCTAGAAGCCTGGTACTAAAATGAATTAGGGACTAACAAACATATTATTAAAATAACTAGTCTCGACAGTAGTTGTCAGGAGATACAATTACATCATTCCTGGGGAATTTAAATAAGTTCATTTTATACCAAGACCTGCGCTGAAGATGTTGTCCAGAAGGACGACGAAAACTTCGCGATTAAATAAACCAACTTAGAGAACATGATTAGTTCAATATCACCCACCTGAGCTACAAATCTTCTCCAATTATTTCCCTTGTTTGTCAGTATCACAATCAATGAAGCGCATTCTTCTTTAAGTCACATATTTCACCTACAAACTACTGCTACTTTAGGACTCTGGATCCATATCGAAGAAATAGTGTAGTGCTTGTTATGATAACTAATTTCAAGTGACCTTACTAGTCATGGATTTCAGAATTTTACTAAAGAAACTGGCATGACTACACCAGAAGATTACTGCACAATTTCGTAATGATAAGGCAGTATGACACACATCTTACAATACAAATAATGACTCCTTATATTTTATATTTTATCCACGTGCTGATAAAATGAATTTTCAGAAAAATGAAATCTAGGAATAGATATCTAGGGATTACGAACTACATTTACAAATAAGAAGTTAAGGTTGGCATTCGTTTTACATCTCGTACGACAACAGTCTGCTTTAAATGGATTTCGTTAAACTAGTAAAGTCCTAGTTAAGGTGATATGGTAAGAATTCAAATATAATCTGAAACAATTTTATTCAATTCAAACTTACAAAGTTTTTTGCAATAGATCTATAAATTTAATTGTTTCATGAGATTTACTTGCTCTCTTACACACTGTTTTAGTATTTTGTCTTCATCAGTGGTTAGTAGTTGTGGTATTACATGGCTAACCCCCTTGGAATTTATCAAGGATGGAAAACTTAGAAAAGCATCTTCTTGAACGCCATTGACACCTTTCATATAAACTGAAACAGGGTAAATGGCAAATAGATTGTTTATGATAGCATCACAAACAGAAGCACAAGCAAGACCGACAGACCAGGAATTATTACCCTTCAAACGAACAAGTTCTTTTTTGCTTTGAATTACAGTCTCATATACAGATTTGTAATCTTCAGGATCGCCAGAATCCCCAATTTTTGGATTCTTCGCAGCTAGTCTGACACCAGTAACATCCACATTTCTCCATAAAGGTATACTGTTTTCACCATTTTCTCCAATTATGTAGCCATCAACTTCTGAAGCACATACATCGAATTTTTCTCCCAAAAGAAAACGAAAAACCGCTGAGTCCAAAGCTGTTCCAAGCCCAAGCACTCGGTGTTTTGGGAAACCACTCAGTTTGGCAGCAACATGAGTCATTATGTCAGTTGGATCTGTTACAATGAATAAAATACAGTCAGGACTATGGTGAACAATCTCGGGAATAATTTTTTTAAAAAGGTCGACATTTTTTTGAATAGCAGTCAGTTTAGAATCTTCATTTTTATCTGCAGTAACTGTGACAACAACAATATCTGAATGTGTAGTTAACTGAAAATTTGAACCTCCGATAATCTTGCAATATCTTGTGAACTGCTGACCTTGTTGAAGATCTAGAACTTCACCCTCTACCTTTTTCTCATCGCTATCAATAAGAGCGATTTCACCAGCTATTTGTAGCAACGAAAAGGCAGTAGATGTCCCAACAGATCCTGATCCAATTATTGAGATTTTGCTGCGATTCTTGTGTTCAGTTCCCTTGGTAGCAACAGGGCACAAAATGGAGCTCATAGTGGAATGGTTAATCTCAGTATAGTAAGCCTAATCAGCGGAATTAATTCAGATAAATTGAGCTTCTGAGAGTAAAAAGACAACGTGTATCTGTTAACCAATCAATGTCTAACATCTAGGTTGAAATATAGGAATTAGCCAATCATTGCCATAAATTGATTTTCGACGTCAAGGTCTTTTATTATAAAATTCTGGAAAATACCATACATAAAAAAGAAGCAATATGTCTTTCTCTCTTATTTGCAGACATAACAAACTTGGTTAGGAGAAAGTTGCAGACAGAATGACCAATTATTGGCAATGTATAGCGTAAAAATGTACTTTATAGTTTGATGCCAACAAAATAATATGTTGACTGTTTTCTAAACACACTGCATGTTTTGTTTTTAAAAAAAGTCATGTGCGTGTTTGTCAAATAATATGATGTGATGATTATATTAATTTCTGCTTTTCTCAATCAAAAACAATTTGTCCCTAAGCCCTTTAGAAAACTTTCCATTCAGTAAGAAAAAATCTTATGACAGAAACTGTGCACATGATTTATCTAGTCCATGAATAAAAAACAAAGAATAATAATAGCAATAATAATAACAAATAGTAGTAGTAGTAGTAGTAGTAGTAGTAGTAGTAGTAGAAGTAGTAGTAGTAGTAGTAGTAGTAGTAGTAGTAGTAGTAGTAGTAGTAGTAGTAGTAGTAGTAGAAGTAGTAGCAGTAGCAGTAGTAGTAGTAGTAGTAGTAGTAGTAGTAGTAGTAGTAGTAGTAGTAGTAGTAGTAGTAGTAGTAGTAGTAGAAATCCTGTAATTAGTTACTGCTGGATTCACTTCCATAAATTGGGTACTGTACTGAAAGTCAGCATCATATTGTAAAGAAATAAGCTGTAAGTGAACAACACTCGGAAGATCAGAAGTAATGCTTTTTGCAATCAAATGCAATGCGTATTAAGGAAATAATCACGAAATTTGCAAATAATATTGCTAATATCCTTTATTTCAATTTCTTGATGGATTCTTCTTGCGTCGATGCTTTATTGACATCTCGAGTGATATACATATTCTCACCGTTTTTCAGAAGACGTTTTTGCAATATTGCTTACATCTACTTATAAAATGCAAACACCAAAATAGTGCGTCAGTACTTTCACGAAATATGACAAAAGGAAGTAAAATTTTGAGAATATTATCAAAACATTATTAGTATTGATTAAACACATACAATTTAGATATAACTAACGTAAACTGAATGCCTGCCTTAAGTAGTATACGATAATGTGAAATAATAATGATCCTTATTGTACCATCAGTATAAATCTATGAAAAGATGAGTATTTTTCTAGTCAGCTAAGGGCTAATAAGGCGTTGGTGGCACAGCTGTAGAATACTCGCCAACCACACAGATGGTTTGGGGTTCGATCCCCGGCCAACGCTCTCCCAAACCTCGCTAAGCCAATAAGACTGGTAAAAAGGGGAGGTTGGGCATATGGCTAGCAACCCCACCCTGTAAACATAAATACCACTACCACCGAAACTTCAAAGCTCTAGCTTGAAGCCCTATGTTCCACTAGGAACGTAAAGGAATAAAAGTTAAAAAAAGGTTAATGAGTTCTAGATGGGTTTGCCATTAGAAAAACCCATAGTACTGTGACCACACGCTCTGAAAAGAGGTAACTCCATCCTCACATTTATCATTGTGAAAGATAATTAGGTTTACAGATTATTTCAAAACAGCAAAAAGCTATAACCAAAAGACCAAATTATTGCACACGTGAGAAAATTTGACCTCTGAAGTTATTATAAGGGAATATTGTACTATCTACATTTAAGTTAATTTTTCATTTCCAGTCGACTGACTACGTTTGGCCAAAATGTTGGTCCTCTGTTGACATTTCGGCTGCTAGTACAGAAGATCTGACAATGCCCACGGATTAACGTGAGGTGATTTTGTTTGTTTGTGACTAGAAGTGGAAAGAATTTTTCATTTCACTTATGACTTTTGGAAGTTGTATGATTTATTGTTCTTAGAATTTTAGCAATGATGTACTAAAATAGGAGAAAAGTAGTAAAACGTTTTAAACAAAATTAAACACACAGCTCATAGTTGGCACTTTGGAATGACATCGGGCAAAAAGTGAAATCATACACAATGAGAACTGACTAGTTAACTGGTGTCTATTGTTGCCTTGAGGCCTAATTAAAGACTGATTATCATAAATCTTTGAAATGAGCCAGTTTTGCTTCTACAGAACTGAATTTTTGTTTTAATCGTACCATGATTGTCTCAACATCCTTAGAATTCAACAGAAACAGTGAATGCATATTAGTTGGGCTTTATAAATGATTTTCCACAGTCAACCCTTGGAATACAGCTAACAGACATGAGTAGATATCATCGTCAGCGTTAGCAAAGCCTGGATGACTTAATAAACCTAACAGGATGAATTTAATCCATTTCGTCTACTTTATGTTCATATATCTATGTTTTAAGGAATAAATTAGTTTATCCAATTTAAATTTTTGATTCAATGAACAAAAACCTTAATACTGGTTTTCTATTCGTGTCACACTTCACCTATCATCTCCTCCTTGACTTGTTTTCAAAATGTAATACTTTGAGAACACAAACTTACAGGCAGTCTATATATACTTATCGCTTTATGGCATCGCTTCTAATATGACTTATGACAATTCATGTGGTACAATAAGAACAGTATTCCAAATGCTCTTGTGAATACAACTAGTTGATATTTCTTACTTGAAAACAGAAAAACAGAAGGTCAAATTTTAGGAGTTTTACGAGTCATATTTTAGGCCAACATTTGCTTCCAATTTGAAGTTTTCCCCTGAAGTAAAATGATTCTCTGTTCAAGACGAGGAAGTAAATTATTTCAGGCAACTGAATGCATCGTGAAAGAATGAAAGGTCTGTTTAAAATCAGTACGAATGAAGCAAAAATTGAAAATCCGCTGACTGGAATTCGTGAAAAAGAAAATGTAAAGCGGATAAATAGTTCCTACGATAGTCAGTCTGTTGCTCATTCTTGATAAAATCAACAACTTTCTATTGAGATGACATCTAATTATCCTGTAGAAGTGTCAGTGAAGGCGAAAATTCGACTGAATTTCCAAAATCTTTGAAGAGATATCAATTATTAGATGCACACATGACAGGATTTCATTCCTACTCACCTGGATATCACTTGAGATTATACACAATTTACTGAGAGTAAGCAATAAACATCCTGCAGAATAATTATTTTAGAATCCGAATTTTATAGTTTTAGGATTTTTAACTAATGTTAGGTTTAGTAATTTATCATTCAATGATTTTGTATAATTGGTGACAAAATGAAAATAACCATAACCATTATAACGCGTAGTTAAGTGGCATAGAAATAAAGATAGTTAGTGAATTCCATTAGGACCTGATGTGGTGTTAAGAATACACGAACAGATACCAAGTGAAACAGCACAGCAGTTTCCTAAATCAAACCACATGGTTTAAGCTCTTGAGAGAAAATACATAATATCCATTCAGATAGAGTAGCAGTAACAAAATGGAGGTGTTGCTGAAATAGCAAATCCTACGTATCATAGTCAAAAAAGATTGCATAGAACAGTACACTTTAGTGTTAATGTCATGACGCGAAATATAGAAAACAAGTCACCAGTTGTTGTTTCCGTTTACAGAATGTCTGGTATCATCTCATTGGAATTATCCTATTCCCTTCGTTATCCTTTCGTTAAAGTAGTTACATTGTGATTCAGTCTTCTATACTGCAAACTTCTAATGTTAGCCTTACTGAATTTTCAAATCACTCATTTACTCTGGAAAACAAATATGCATTTGTGTCTGAAGCTTATGAGCTACACAGTGTATGTAGGAGTTAATTGTACTAATAGACTGCTCAGATTGAAGTTTGTTAAGTGCATGTGTATTACTGATAATGGCCAATGACGACGAATGGGCGGGCCAGTGTGATAAAACTGTTTCGTTTATGACATACAAGACTTCGAAAACTGATCATTTACTCCGTCAAGTTATAATAAAAGTGTATGGATAAGTTTTAACTCAACGTATTCGTCAAATAGATTTGCCGAGGATAAAATGGAATAAAGTCTACTGGTTCTGAAAACATTACTGCATTAACCTTAAATAAAACCTCTGTTATGGCTATCCCATTATAATGATAGGATTACTTCAGAATCTGTACATTGTTGGAACTTGATTATATGTTTTATATTGGAGAATGGAAAGCTTCTTACAGTAGTAAGTGTATATTACGGGTTTAGCTAGAATTTAGTGTATTAATAATAATTAGTAATTTAACTTATTCCTTTGCGTTCCAAGAGGAATATAGGGCTTTGAGCTTGAGCTTTAAAGTTTAATTTTCATTGGTGCGTTTTTCGGGATGGAGTTATTAGCCTCACAAAACAATCTTCCCTATTTACCGGGCTTAATAACGCCTAGACAAGGTTTAGGGGTGCAACGACCGAGAATCGAACCCCGGACTACCTCCATGATTGGTGAGCTTTCTACCACTGAACCACCGATGCACACTTCAGCGTATTACTCCACTAAAACTTGATTTGTCGTGCAGTTACTATTTTCCATGTGTATGAAAGCTATCATAATTACAGAACATGTTTATTTCAATACTAACATTTTAAGCAGTTATTTTCCATAGAGTAGCCATTATTCCACAGCTTGAGAAATGTGCGCGATTCAGCTTATAGTGATCACAAACCTTTCTTAATTGAAATTACATGTTACTCCCTTTCCTTTTGACCGGAAGTCTGTTAAAAATGGCCTTCAATTATATTCGCTCTTGCTTTATTCAGGCTAAGCAAGGAATGCAAGTGCTATAAATATGTTAATTTATGCTTCTGTTGGCTCAAAAGTTTTGATAAATTCAGTAACGATTAGAAAGATTTGCTTTTTCGCACATTTTTCAACAACTGATCACTTTCATAAGATTAAAGAGATGTATCTTTACGAGAGATTTGTGTTGAAGTAGTTGTCAATAGAGACTCTAACTGGACATTTTTCTGGAGCTGAATAGTATTGCGGATTGAGACAGCTTGAAGTTGGAAACAGGAACTGATGTTATGACAGACGGTTGATATTGAAATGAAATCTCCGGTCATGAGAGCATCCGGATCAAAATCCTGTAGGTTATTATCCTGCCGTTTTACTGAGTTAGTTAAGAGGTCTACACGTTGAACAACCTTTTGTTTCCAGGACAGTAACACCATATTCATTGACATTAAAGCTACGCATAACCCCTTGTTACTGATCCAAGAGGTAATACTGTATGTGGAACGTTTCGTCAAATACAGCTTTCTTCTAATAAATTGTGGTGGTGTGATACAGGCAATGCATTACAACAGAATATTATTCTCACAATAAGAATCATAGTATTTGATGGTGTTAACATCGAATACTATTCCCACAGTTCAATACTGCATAAGCAACGGAATAATATATGTATTTGAACATTCTATTTCATGTCGTTTAATCTAAACTAAAATCATACGCTCAGTGATTGGTTATAGAATATAAACTATATATATATATATATATATATATATATAAACAGCGGTTTGATTAATGAAAAATACACCTTGGCTTCTGTATCTTGCCTCTGCTTTTATAAAATGAGTAGGCAAGAGCTAATAGCAAATAAATCTCTATTACGTTGAATTTAAAAAGTAATAGTTATGTGAAAAATCAAAATTCTGAAGAGATTAAAAGTGCCGCGTTGCATTTCAATGAGTAAATTCATTGTTTCGTTTAAATTAGTAATCAAACATAAGGAATAAGTCAGATAGTTG